TATATTTCGTCAGTGCAGCCATCTCCTCTACCTCCCCCTCCCCCTCCTTGCCCCCTCCCACGTGACCTTTGACCCTATCTGCCCGCCATTGTCTATAAATAGAACAGGAACACAGCAACAACCCCGCCATTGCCAGCACGCCCAACATAACCATAGTGCCCACGATCCTGAGCCCGGCAGGTGTGCTATAGCTCACTTCAAACCCTCTTGTCTCACTTTCTCTCACTCTAACCTCTCCTCTATGCTCGCCTTCTTTCACTCCGCCCTCACTCTCACCTCCCACCCCGGCTGTAGTAGTCGTCTCATCCTCCCCACCACCCTCGCCCCTCGCCGGAGAGCTACCCCGAGTGCCTACGACAAAGCCTAAGCCTACGCCCGTTCTGCGTCCCGTGGTTGAGTCACTGCTCATGCCGTCACTTCCCCCCAAGTCCTCGTTGACGGCTCTACTGCTCCTGGGATCCGAACCTGTCCCTTCCGTGTTCCAGCTCACCGTCGTGTTGAACAAAGCCGCGTCAGGATCTCTCGACTCGCCCACACGGACATCTGTGGCGTTGCCAGGGAGACGAGGAGCGTCCTCCCAATCTGTGTCGTTGCCATGGAGACGAGAAGCGTCACCCTCACCTGTCGCGTTGCCATGAAGACGAGAAGCGTCCCCCTCACCCGTGGCGTTGCCATGAAGACGAGAAGCGTCCCCCTCACCCGTGGCGTTGCCATGAAGACGAGAAGCGTCCTCCAATGGGTCACTGGACGTCGTGTCCTTCCAACCGTCAGTGGGGACGGGGTCGCCGAGTGGGAGAGCAGGGGAGCCAACTTGTGTGCCCCTTGCCTTACTGACACTGGTAGTCGTGGTTATGTCCCTTACGCCAGGGGAAGTAGCTCGTGTGTCCATCGCCTCCTCACTGGTGGCCGTAGTAGTCGTGGTTGTGCCCCTTACACCAGGGGGCGGGGCGGCCGCGGATGACGTCACGGTAGAGGCGCCGGCTGCTGTGGGTCCAGGTTCGAACCTTCCGGGTGCTGTGTGCTGACTGCCGCTGGTGTTTGCGTGAGGGGCCGCGGAGTGGTGGCTTGTTACGTGGGTCTGTGTGGGGGCGGGGATGGGCGCGGGAGGGCGGTTTCTGTCACGTGACGTGGTGGTGGTGGTGAAAATATCACGTGACGTGGAGGTCGTCGTGTCGAGTGGCGTGGTAGTGAAAATGTCGCGCGATGTGCTGGTGGGTGTGTCGCGTGACGTGGAGGTGGACAGGTCACGTGACGCAGTGGTTGAGGACATGTAACGTGGCGTGGTTGTGAGAGTGTCGCGTGGCGTGGTGGTGGTAGACAAGTCACGTGGTATGTCTGTGGTGTTCCCTGCAGGGACCATGTCTCCCCCGCCAGTCTCGGAAACTACAGCATCTGTAGTGTGGGTGGGTGTCGCTGTTGTTATTGCTATAGTAGTTGTTGCTGTTGTTGTAGTTGCTGTTTCTGTTGTTGCTGCTGCAGGTATTGTAGTTGTAGTGGACCTCACGGGACAGGTCAAGGTCAAGGCCAAGACACACACGAGCAGTGACGTCATTAGGGTGTCCACATAGGAAGACATTTTGTCGGTCTCTGCAGACGATAGATTGCAATTGTTTGCTTGTTAGTTTTTCTTTCACTTTTTTGTTTTGTTTGACTTCTTTATTCTTTGGATATCTTTGTTTAGGTCAGCAGTCTCAAGAAAAATCTGCTTCTTGCAGTGTTTGTTTGTTTGGAGTTGTTCAAAGTTGTCAACAAAATCGCTCAAAATCGTCCAAAGTTGCTTAAAGTTGTCAAACGTTGTTCACAAAGTTGCTTAAAGTTGTCAAACGTTGTTCACAAAGTTGTCCAAAGTTGCTTAAAGTTGTCAAACGTTGTTCACAAAGTTGTCCAAAGTTGTTCACAAAGTTGTCCAAAGTTGTCCAAAGTTGTCCACAGTTATCCAAAGTTGTCCAAAATTGTCCGAAGTTGTTCAAAGTCGTCCAAAGTTGTTCACAACTTTATCCAAAGTTGCCAAGAGTTGTTCACAATGTTGTTCAAAATTGTCCTAGTTGTTCAGAGTTGACCAAAGTTGTTTAAAGTTGTCCACAAAGTTGTCTAAAGTTGTCCACAGTCGTCCAAATTGGTCTAAAGTCGTTCAAAGTAGTTCAAAATTGCCCAAAATTGTCCAAAATTGTTCACAAAGTTGTCTAAAGTTGTTCAAAGTCGCCTAAAGATGTCTAAATTCGTTCAAAGGTTTTCACAGTTGTCGAAAGTTGTCGAAAGCAGTCAAAACTTCTTCAAAGTTGTCCAAAGTCGTTCACAAAGTTGTTCAAAATTGTCCTAAGTTGTTCAAAGTTGTATTCTCCTGATGCTTGGGTCAGTGGTCAGTCTACTCAGCGGCTCACATAGTTGGAGAATTATACAACACCTGTGGAGATACCAAAACAAACACCTTTGTAAACTGTAAGTATCTCTGTCTGACTATCATTTCTCTATCTATCTATCTCACTATCTATTTTTCATGGCAAAAATTTAATGTGAGTAAACATTCTTTTTATCTCTATTCATCGATTGTTCTGTCCTTGTCTCTCTTTAAAAATAAATAATGCGTGTAAACGTCCTGTTGTCTTTCTTTCTGTAAGTGTGTGAGGGTCTTTGTTTATATTTGTTTTTTGTTTTTTAAAAGTTTTACGGTGCTCTCAATTGCCTAAGGTCATATGAGCACCAAGGGGTGGATGTCAACAGAGAAGTCTAAACGGGGAATCAGGCTTACTCTGCTCACCTCTCTAGCTTCAACAGCACAAAGTCTGCTTTCACTATCAAGGCACCCCAGAAATAGCGTTCACAAGAGAGTGACAAACATACAAAAGAAGTAGAGGAAAGAATAACGACAATAAGGATGAAATGAGGAAAGAAAAAGCAGCAGTCTATTTTGTTCCGGCACAGTATGAGCATGACATTGATAGATCAGTCCATTTACAACTCTGCTGTGCATGAGAACATGTTAATATCCCCCCACCCCCCCAGTAGCACTGCCAT